TCTTCTTCTATAAAAAACAACAATCAAACCCACCCACTATATAAAGGGTTTTCCCCCCCCCCCCGTCCTCCGATCTAAAAAAAAGAAAAAAAAGAAATCAGCATACTTTCAAAACATATTTGAGATAGTTACTGCTTCACTTGGCAACTGTGCAGCATGCTTAGAATACAGGCTAGAGCAAACTCGGAACCAAATCTTCAAATCAGATAGTAATCTCTAAAGATTTGACTCCCAACTGGTGCCTCTCACTATTTCCTCATCTCCCCAGCTAATTAACATTTCTGATTGCATGTTTTTATTACTCTCTAGATGAGGAGATTCTCCACTGACAAACCAGGATTACATTCATGTGGCCACTAGGACTTTGTCACTTCAAGAACATCAACAACACTAGAAGATTTGAATGCTATACAAACAATTGTGATAAGTGGCAGCTGTGGCAGGATGAAGAATGATTTTTACTTAGATCTCTCCGTTCCTTTATTCCAGGCATTTAGCTATTGCAGATTAGTGTTGTCTTCCACATAGAAGCAGTAGCTGACATCTCTTAGACTTAATAGGAAGTCCAACAGGCGTTGCAGATTAGTCAAATGTGCATTTTATTGGAATCTGCTATTCACAAAATAAGCATGAAACATCATTACTTTCAAAAAGTTTAATCAAACTTCTTCAATTGTTAATTCATGTTTTGTTGCTTCCTCAATGTTTTTCAGTTGGCGAAGCACCCATTCTCTTTGTTTCTTTCTCTGTTATAGAAAAAGAAATAGTCAGTCTGACCTGTTTAGACTTCATATGCTTTAAAAACAAGCACAGGTAGATTTGGGCTGAACATTTATTTGTTTTAAGCTAAGAAGCTTTAACTCAGAGTGAGCAGATCTTCCTGAGCTTTCAATATACTTGTGAACAATATGGAGAAGAAATCCCCACAGATAAATCCAAGAAAACAGAATCTGATGGTTTGCACACTAGCACGACAGTCTTTAGACTCCAAATCCATTGCCTTATTTTCCTTTTTGTGAACTTGCCACCAAGTCCATACTTATAATCAAAGCTGCAGGAAGCTGAGATCTCTAATTCCATTTTAATCAAACAAGACCACCTGCATAAGGACTACTAATCTAAGCTTTTCCCAGGATACCTTACACTAATTGAAGGGTTGCATACAAGACCAACATTAGCAATAACTAGGATTCTTTCTATAAAACATTATGATTTCAATTAAACAGGCCAAATAGTAGATTGTGTTGGTTTTTTTTTTTCTCCTGCATTTTCAGTTAAGTCTCCAACATGAAGAAATTTAAGAATTTTTCCAGTTAAGCCACTAATCTCTTCCCATTCTTAAGTTCCTCCTGCAGAGAGAAAAAAAACAAACAACAAAACAAACTACTTCTGCAGTAGCATTCATATATTAACATGCAAGTGCAGAAGCTAAATTAAATACCAAATGAATAAATCACATCTAGTCTAGCTGGAATGATGTCACAGAATCTAAGAAGTTATCAGTATGAACTAGGACATACATTCATAGAATCATAGAATCGCAAGGTCGGAAACGACCTATAAGATCATCCAGTCCAACCGTCTCCTCATCACCATTGCCACCACAAGCACTAAACCATATCACGCAGCATGTCATCCAGATGCCTCTTGAACACTGCCAGGGATGGCAACTCCACCACCTCCCTGGGCAGCCATTCCAGTGCCTGACCACTTTCTGAGAGAAAAAGTTCTTCCTTATGTCTAATCTAAACCTTCTCTGATACAACTTGCGGCCATTTCCTTGTGTCCTACTCGTTGCCTGGGAGAAGAGGCCAAATTTCACCACAACCTCCCTTCAGGAGGTTGTAGAGTGCAATGAGGTCTCTCCTGAGCCTCCTCTTCGCCAGAATTATTGATAAAGTTGTGAAGATGTTGTATAACCACAATATTCTTCTATTACTAGAAAGATGTGCAAATACAGTACTGGCACAAAATTATATGCTAGTTCACAGTATATGGAGAATATAATTACCACAATAGCTGTATCAGTTTTCTTCTTTTTCAACATTGGAGGATCTTTTATTCCTGGTATTCCAGAAACCATCCATGAAGATCCACTCTTGGGAGTTACTGCTAACTTCTCAGATGCTTTTGTGGGAGTTTGAGTCTCCACACTTGAGACAACCTTTTCACTTGCCTCTGTATTTGATTCATCAGATGCCAATACTGTGGAAAGTCGTTTTCTAGAATACACAACTTGAGAACTATGGCTTATCTCTCTGCTGGAATCTTGCAAGTCAAATACTTCTGAAAACCTTTTTGGAGACATATGAGGGAAGTATGCTTCAACACTTGCTAGTGATAGTTGAGCTACTGACCTTCCTAGAGTTGATTTTGGCACTGGGGATATATAAGCTCTCTTACTGAGATCTTGGTCCTTGATTGACTGATTGATTGGACCCGAAAGAGATAGCATTTTTCTTGAGAACACTGAGTCCACTGGAGTGCTGTGTTTCACCACTTTCCTTTTTAGAGATCTTTGAACATCCCAAATAGAATCTTCTTCCTCTGACATCTGGAAGTCAGGTTTGCTGTCTTAAAGTAGAAAGAAAATTGCACCATTGCTCATATACTATAAAATGTCATGCAAAGTGTAATGCAAACATGAAAATAAGAGCATCTCTCCACATGAATTTTATCTATTATATTGATGAATATTCTTGAAAGGGTTTAAGAGATTAGAGGACACTTATTCCTGTCTCAGCCCTCTGCATACAGAGCTCCACATAGGCTAAAACTTAAGCAATCCTATTATCTGTAACTTTGTTACGATAATTTTCTTTTTCCCCCTCAGCATAAGCCTTGGGGTTGCAGTTACTGAAACTATGGAAGACAGCAGTAACTGTGGCACACCAAAAGAAATCAAATAGCATAGGAAAAATGAAAGCACACTGGAGTAACAGAGACATTCTGGTCCTACTCTAATTGCTATTTTGTTACTCTCGCATGAACAACCAATTTTAGAAAAAGCTTCTAATTCCCTCCCACTTGCCTTTTCAAAGAAAGTTTTACTACTTCTGAACTTTGATCCTAAAACATTTTGTACAGTTAAATTTACAGCAATGTCAAGATTGCTCTTTTGTGAGTTACTTCCCTACTTTTACAGCTGCATCAACAACAGAAAAGAACTCGTCTTCTTAAACCTGGAGAAGCCTAAGATAAATACACTTTAAAGTATAATTAGAATATCCATCTTAAGCAAGTGTTCTAATATTATTCTAATAATTACTGAACTGTGTGGTTTCATGAGGCAATTCAGATATTTCATACATGCTGATTGTGTAAGACAGCAACAGATTTTCAGTACCTATGTTCTGAGACCTCTATACAAAAGATCATGTATGGGTGAGCTAGACTTCTATGAGAAGAAAGGCATCAGCTCTTCATTCCTTGGAAGTGTTTTGCACCTGTGTAGAGTCTATGAGTTTGGTAGTGCCACACCCACTTCGTGTTCCTAGAGAGCACAAGATGGCAAACAGGGGAACTTCTTCAGTAGATAGGTTGTTTTTTGTTTGTTTGTTTTTTTCTCTTCCTTAGAAAGAGGAAAGAGTAGAAATCCTTTATTACCCACTTTGAATAACCATTTCTCCTCCCATTTCTGCATGTTGCCAGCTTTCATGACTGACTATAAACAGCCCTGAGCTGTTTTTTCTCCTCCCTGTTCAGTCACGTTAACTTCCCTTAGTCTTAGAAGCTTATTGGTAGTAAGTTTATATGAATAAGCTATAAATGGAAATCAGCATAATAAGTTTACAACTCCTCAAATCCCCTCCCTACCCTCCAGCACTACTATACATTTTGATGCTTTCCCCTTACTCATTAAATAATGATCTATATGAGTAATTAAAAGCCTTTATTTGTACTCTTAAAGATAGCTTTTAAGATTGTTTCCAACCAAAGCTTTCAAGAAGAGCAAAATACTACACTGTACTTTAGACATGCTTGTAAGAAACACTTCCCCCCCCGGTTGCATTAATAATACCATTTAATGACACCCAAAAGGGAGGGAGGAAGAGAAAACTAAAAATGGCAGAAAAAGTTTAAACAATTAAGAATGATAGGATCTACAGTAAAAGAACACATCAGCAAAAGAAAACAAACTTACCAGCGCTATTAAGTTCCATCTGAAGTCTTCTACTACTTCTCTCCTTTTCAGGTGATCTAACTAAAGATCCTGCTTCAATTCTTATAGCCCTGGTAACTTCCCAGCATTCTTTGCTGCAGAACCTCCCCAGATGATGCATCTGGCATTTTTTTAGGAGTTTCATTAGTGCTGCTAAATGAAAAAATGCTGAATAGTAACCTAAGATGAAGTAGTCATAGGAAAACAGGCTGTCCAAATCGTCTGTGTGCTAAATTTGTTGCTGTTTAGGGTCTGCTGCTTGCTATCTACTTCAATGACAATAAATCTAGTGATTTATTGGCTTCACATAACTGTTTATGGCATGTTGAGGATCTGTTACAAGATGGATGCTTGTTTATGGACATGTATCTGTTTCTATTCAGATTTTATTTTCTTTGTTTTTATTACCTGAAAAATTAATGTTAGGAAAAAAACATGTTAAATCTTCAATGAAAAACTCTTCTTTTGAGAAAATAAAGGTAGTAAGAATACACTGAGTATTGTTTTGCTGCAGTATGAATTTCACAGTGTTTGTAACTAACATTTGTGGAGATTACAGCACTAAAGAATTTTGTCTCAAACCATCAGCTGTTAGATGAGAATTGTATTGCTATGAAATGCTAAGGTTCACGTGGTGGAGGACCGTAATTTTTGTTTACAAAAAATCCAGCTGGACTGAACCAGCCCCACTAGAAGTGCTAGTGAACTTTGTGGAAGAAGGCAGCAAACAGCTGCCATCACAACACTGTAGAGCAAGCAGAGATGTGGAGGAATGCTTGCACAGATATTGAGGTAACCCTTTTTGACAAAACATGAATTGTGGAGCTTTAAAATCTAGGTTGATCAGACAGACCTAATTTCAGGGCTTTATGTGGATGATCTGAGGTTGTAATACACACCTCAACAGGAGGTCAAAGGTCTGATCTTGCCAGGAGTTGAACTTGTGGTTGCAGGGAATATGAGCATTTCAAACCTAATAATAAACCACTCTAGCTTGCTGTATTAATACTTGCACTATGAATAGAGAGTTGGAGCGACCAGTTCAATATTTAAGAATAACAGTCTGTCAATACGTGGGGTATGTTTCTAGGTTTAAATTGTCCGCCTCCACCCCTAAGGAACTGAAAGAGAGCTCGAGAAGTTGAGGCACTTTAGAATCACATGGATTGCATAAGTAAACGTTCTGGAAATAAATAGCTGGTCCAGGTAAAGCTATTTATTTCCTAAACTCCCAGGGGAGATTCCTACAGGAATATTTTGAGAACTAAACATAAAATTATTTCAAGTTATTTGTGGCTGAGTAAAAGAAAAAAATATCTTGGTCCCTTATAAACACAGAAGAGGCTAGACCAGCCCTTACCTCATTTTGACTATTAGTATTTAGTTTTAAAACTAGTGCCCTTGTGGCTTCATGAACAGACCCACCAGGTCATCCATACTGTGTCTTGCAGAGCTCAGCAAGGCAGTTCTTTATATAGCACAAAGCAGTGATGTCTTGACATAGTGTCGCAATGTTTGCGCTCTCCTGTATAAGTGGGACATACTACTGCCTGTCCCAGCAAGGGTGGGACGCAAGCAATGTTGTGCAGCATGAACCTACACAAGAAGCTTTTTGGTAGGTCTGAGTAATTTGCCAAGAAGTAACATGCATTACCATGGGACAATTTTTTTCCCCATAGTTTTCTGATCTAATCTGAGACTACACATTTTCAGTTGCTGCTCTGCTCATTTCTTCAATTCCCACTCTGATTATGTTGCTAAACAGTTCTGAAGACAACTTGAAGGCCAAACTTAGCACCTACATTTACCTAACATGTCAAATTGGTTTTGTATTTCTAGTTTGTTAAGTCAAAAATCTTGCAAAAGTGTCCCAACAGTGAGGAGTTTGATACAGTCTGTAGTACCAGACTTCTCCCTGCCCTTGTGACTAATCTAAGGGATTTTTGGTGTGGGTGATTTTGAAAAAAGTGCATAATAGACAGTAGGAATAGGAGCTGGTAAGTGCAGCTCATCAGTCTATTGTCTGATAAATCAAAGTGGGATGATCCTTTCTGGGAGAAATGGAAGGAAGGAGGAAGAGCCAGGGGAAGAATACAAGGAATGGTGAAGAAAAAGACAAAGATAGAAGGAGACAAAGAGGAAAATACTTTGCCAATTTTACAGCGTAATGAAAAGAATAAACTAGAGGAAAGATTAGAGGAAGAAAGGAAAATCAAAGAGAAAGGAAATTATACTGTATTTCTTAAACGGTTTAGAAAATTTAGGCCTAGATTATCAGTTGTTTTTGGATGAAATCCCTCCACAATTAAAATGTAATTCAAATTATTATAATCCCTCCTTCCCCAGTTTGAGTTCTGTGGTGTAAAGTCAAATCAGAGTGCTCTAAGACTGTCTGACAGACTGAACTTCTCAGTGAAAACCAGAGTGCTGCATCTTATTTATCAGCATGAAGGCTGAAGCTAGCAGGGAGCCTCATCATGAACTAAACTCTGCAGCTGTAGTGCCTTCCTTGGTCTACCCAGAGTTTTGATACAACGGGATGTGCAAAAGGAGCAGAACCTCTGTTTTCCTAAGCTGTAAGCATTTGGGGCAGCAATAGAGATTGAAATGCAAGCAGTCCAAAGCTTGTTTAGATATGTTGTATGGAGAAGTACACTGGGACTTTTCAAAGGAGCCTTAACCCTTTGTTTTCACTGATTGCAGTAGGAATTACATGCTTGGGTGCTGAGAATACTGAGATTTGTGAGAGGATGTATTATGGTGGCAGTCATTTAGTATGTATATTTCATGGAAATCTTCAGAAACCAAGGATTATAATCCTCTGTGGTCTGTTAAACAAAAGCTATGCAGATTTATGGACCTGATCTCCAACAGTTTTGGAATTTAAGAAGTCTTTTCTTATTGTCAGTGAAACGCCAAATTATGATACTGTGATTACCGGAGGAAAAAAAAGCATAATTTATTGCAGTATTGTGGAAGTGGTACCTTGCACCTGTTTTTTCAGTGTTACAATGACCTTTATTCCTGGTCAGAGACAAGATCAATGTTTTTTACTACACTGTCCACAGACTGACCTAAGTGCAGTACAGTTCCCATTCCAATGCCTGTCATAGGTATGACTCTTAAACAGTCTGAGGTGAAGGCTCCAGGAAATCCTAGACAACTCTTTACACAGAGTTACAAACTGTTTTTCAGATTTTGGGTAGTGTCCCTCTACTATGACTGGATCTGTTCAGCTGGATAGCAAGTCTGATTTTGCATACTAAAACCCACAACATGGTTTGCTGGATGGATTTTGTAGCTACTCAGGAAGTCAAACTGTTGTTTAAACATCTAAATCTCCTTCCATATGATTAATTGCAGTGAGAGTATGAGGAATAACGAGACTGCTTCGTTTCCAAACCATTGCAAATATTCTTAAGTGCTTTTAAAAGAAGTTAAAGTTAGAAAATTTCCATCTAGATCCAACAGTTGCCTGGAATTAAAAGTGGTATCCTACCAGCCAATTTTTTTTTCTGTTTTAATGTCAGACTGAGTAAACAAAAGCCTTAAAGAGCACAACTTTATCCCCTCATGATGCATCAGGGTTCATAGACAAGTTCAGTGACGCATCCTCCCTTAGCAGGCCCAGTTTTGCCCTCAGATAGAGTGCTTGGATTCTATATGAGAGGAGGATTAGGTTGTAAACATTTAAATAAGCTGGTATCTTATAAATTCAATTATAAAACTCTAAGGCAGTAAAAATTGTTGCCTCTCTTGGTTAAACAAGTTTATTATATACAAGTCCTTATTCTAAGAACACAGTGGGAAACACTAAACTGAGAAAAGTATATTTCTATCCAGTGGTCTGACTGATTAATATTTGACTTTTGAAAAGTCTAGTTACCTAAATGGAAGAAACTTCAATACTAGTAGAGGTCATTAACCTGCATAAAATCAATGCGCCACCACCTGCCTTTGTAATTACGTCAATGACTCCTCTTCGTTATATGCTTATCCACTTCAGTCTTACCAGAGGGCCTCAATGTGTTCTATCTGCATGTTGTTTTTTTGCTAGACGGTGTCCTATACATTTTCTGCATGTTTCTACATCCCAGAAATCAAACGGGGTTAATATTCAACAGGGACTTTTCCTCAATAACGTGCTGTCTGTTTTCCGATACGACTGCTCCTCTCTAATTATGTTGGCAGTGCTGCAGAGGAGCACATAATATTATTGCCTAAGTTCAATAAACATGCAGAGTAACTATAAAGTTCAGAAAAAAACAGTCATGCTTTTATGATCTCTGGCAACAGTATAAGCACAGTTTGGCCAGTGCCAAACAAATGTCTAACTTAAAATCTCTCAGTGATCAGAAAATGATGGATTTACTTTACTTTATTACATCTAATAATAAACAAAAAATGCTGTTTGAGCAGTGAAGTAGTGTTTCCAGACTATTACTTTGCAGAAGGTCAAGCCAGAGGTCTATCAGTGGCTCTTTCTTCTACTGAAATCTGATAGACAATCCATTCCATAGATCCACAATCCATAGACCAATCCATTATTAATACAGCTAGATCTAGTAATAGTAGTCTACTCTCCGGTTATAAGTATAAAAACAGCAAAAGCCTGGGAGGTTTATATTAATGCAAAATTAAATGCCTATTCTCTGAGCCCTGAGCATGAAAACCTGTGCAAATTATTACTGCAGTAGACAATCTGCACAGAACTGGATGTTTAGTATCAGATCAGGACTGATAGTGGCCTGGCTATACCTCAAGATCTCTGTCTTCAAATTCTATCCACAGTTTAATGAAAACCAAAATTGTCACAGACAATTTCTGCTACATGGGTTGCTTTCCAGATACATTTCTGTTTGTTCATTTTGTTTTCCAAAATAAACGTCCAAATGAGAAGATGGTCCATGGTTGGTACTTATATCATCATTTCATTCTGGTGGACAGCAGAACATCGTGTTCTGCCAGCAGATGCTGTGCATTAGGTTGTCTTAGGTTCCCTAGGCTGACCTAGGGAATG